ATTTTTCTGGACAATGCCAGCATTTGGATTTTTTTAAACAAGTAAATTTCTTATTGATGGCAACTAAATGGTGTTTTTAGCATTTTTATCATACAGTAGATTCCATCTAGTCACTATACTTTTCTGAGTTGTCTTACATGCTAGTACATGTTTTTAACGTTGTCTTTCTGTGCTGTTCCCGTTTCCTATTAAAATACATTAAACTGTAAAAAAACAAAAACAAAAAAACAAAGAAACTATTAGTCGAGCAGTAGATTTAGCTCAGTGGTGGCCATGCCTGCCTCATAAGCACCAGGTCCTGAGTTTGATCCCTGGCACTGGAAAAAAAAAAAAAAAAACTACTAGTTGAATAGTTCCATACAGTCTATTCATAAGAAATTCACGGGGAATTTTATATATATTAATATGTAACACAATACAAACAATATGACCTAGAATATAGTATAAACTGTTCCAGTCTATTAGACTCATAACACGTTTTTCTTTACCTAGCATACTGCAATTCAAAAGAGCTGACATAAAGTGGGCAATATAAAGTGAAAAAAGAAGCAGTAGTAGATATGTTTCTCCCTGCCATTATATTTCGGATATTTTTTTTTTTTTTTTTTTTTTTTTTTTTTTTTCACCAGGGATTGAACTCCTTGTGCTTGCTAGGCAGGCAGTGGAATCACTGAACTAAATCCCCATCCCCTTTATTTCCTAATTAATAGCTAACACTTGTATACAATACATAGTAAAATCTACAGTAAACCATTTAATGAGATTCCTAAAAGTGCCTCTGCAGTTCAAGACAACCATAGTAATACCAGAAGAAACTCCTTAAAGAAACTTCAGGAATTACACATTTGAAAGGGCCAGGGATATAGCTCAGTGGCACCATACCTGTCTGGCCAGTAGTCCTGAGTTCAACCCCCCATTACTAAAAACAAAAACAAAAATAAAAACAGAATTATACTTCTGAACATTGCTTCATTGGGGCAGGTATAATACTAAAATACAGACAAACTACAAGAGATTTGTATTATTATCAAGACTGATGTCATTAACTCAATCTATTTCATATCCTGAAACAATCTTCATTATAGTGTTTAGCACCTCAAATTTCTAATAAACTGAGTAAAAATCTACCTAATTTGTTTGTTTTTTTTTTCGGTACCAGGGATCGAACTCGGGTCCTTGCGCTTGCCAGGCAGGCAGCGGAACCACTGAGCTAAATCCCCGGCCCAAAAATCTACCTAATTTCACATCAGTTTCATGAACATATACCTTTAATACAACTTGACATATTTTTATATGTTACACTGATAACATAATTTAACAGCTTTAACAAAGCAAGAATTTTGTTCAGCTCCAAAAAAAGTATAAAAGCTAGGCACGGTGGCAGCACTATAATCCCAGCACTTAGGAAGCTGAGGCAGGAGGACTGCCAGTTCAAGGACTGCCTGGGCTACACCATGAGTGCAAGACCAGCCTGAACAACATAAGGAAACCCTGTCACAAAACAAAAACAAAGTATGAAACGAGGGTGGGTCATGGGGGGGGTTACACCACTAAATTTTTGGTTTCTCTACTCCACTCCTCAGCATCTAGGGTATACAATGAAGTGATAGAAGCATAAAATTATATTGTTAAACTATTAATTTCATAAAAATGCAGATCTCTTCATAGCAAATGTATAATATAGGTTACTAGCTTTGGTTACTATTAGATTTAACCATCATTCAAATATTTCTGAGCAATTACTACAAGCTGGGTACTATTACAAGCAATGAGGATATAATGAACAAAAAAAGAATAATTTTTTTATCTTCATGGGACTTACATTCTGCCGTGAGAAAGAAACAACAACAAAAAAGATAATTATAAATGTTGTACAAGTTATTAAGGAAATAAAACTGCCACAGATTATAGCTTTGAAAACTGAAGTGTAGAATTCTAACAGACCTAAAAATAAATAATTCAGAAAGAATTACTTTAACATGACATAGATTCTACAGACCTTTGCTAATGCATAAGAAAATTACAGACATTGACCATAAAAACAAAGATCAATCTTTCACTGTCAAAGCTACAGGATGACACTACTTACCAATATACAGTAGTAACCTCAGAAGATAATTGACCTCACAGTTCCACAGCACAAAAAGCATGTGAACACAATCCTAAAGAAACACTAAGTGGAGCCTAAGGATATACAACAATTTAATGTAATGTGCTATTCTGAATGAAAAGCTAAACCAGAAAAAAGGCCATTAGGTAAAAACTAAGGAGATATAAATGAACTATGAAACTTCATTGATAATATATCAATACTGGTTCATTAATTGCAATAAATGTACCATACTAAAATATTAATAATTGAGGAAACTAGGCAAAGAGGCACAGGAGAACCCTCTGCACTATTTTGTCTATAAGTCTAAACGTGTTCTAAAAATATAAAGTGCTGGGCCCAGTAAATCCCTGCACTCTGGTGGGTGAGCCAGTGGATCGCTGAGAGTTGAGAACAGCCTGGACTACATAGTGAGTTCAAGGCCAGCCTGAACTACAGTGAGACCCTGACTCAAAAAACAAAACAAGTGTTTTTTTTTTAAATCTATAGCAAGGCTTCAAGAATTATGGGGGGGGTAAGAATTATCTGGGGGAGGGAGTGCGGTGAGGCAGTGAAGGGAGGAGTTAGTAAAGGTTTAAAGAAAGAAATGAGAAGCCACAAAAGTCTGCAACATGATTGAGAGCATAAATACAGTACTCAGAAAACTCCAAAGAAACATGGAGATACTTAAGAGCTCTTCACATAAAAAATTTCCTAGACAGATTAATGGATTTTTCATGCTCTGCATCACAACATAAAGCAGTAATATCCCCAGAGTACCCAATAAGCTACTTATAAGTGATAGTCTACTTATAAGTGATGACCAATAAGCTATATTCTATGTATAGCATTGTCCTGAAATTGCCATATAATAATAGTTGGACCAGGATCAACTCCATAAGTTCCACCAAGTACTCGCCTAAGGAAATAAATTTATACTTACCTAAGGAAAATCCCTCAGCAAAAACAGGGCTGGGGGTATAAATCAGTGGTAGAGCCCTTGCCTAGCACGTGCAAGGCCCTGGATCCATCTCTAGTACTGCCAAAAAACAAAACAAAACAGGGAGATCATATCCTCCCCATTCCAGTAAACCTCGATGTAGTGTACACATCTGTAAACCCAGTAATCAAGGAGTCTGAGACAGGAGGATGGAAAGTTACAGTCCTGTCTGGACAATTAGCAACTTTGTGAAAATCTTTATCCAAAAAAAAAAAAGTTTGGGAATGTAATTTAGTGGGAAGGCCCTGGGTTCAATCCCTAGTACTGTGAAAGAAAAAGTAGAGAAGTAGGGGAAGATATGAAAGAAGAAAAACTATTTCCCAGGTCAAACTGGAGTTGATTTTGCAACAAGTATTACCCTGCTATAATGCCAGACAAATTAACATAAATAGTTCAAGATAGTAATAAAAGCTATGACTTTATAGAAGTTATATGCCTTTCAGTCAAAACAAGTAATTTTTTTTCTATAACCTCACCTAAGACATCTAGTAGATAAACAATGTTTGATGACTTGGAATTAAATTCTCAATGTTTGATTTATTTTTTTAAGGTACCGGGGATCAAACTTGGGATCTTCTGCTTTTGAGGCAGAGAGCAGAGCCACTGAGCTAAATCCCCGGCCCTCAATGTTTGAATTTTAAAGATGGTCAAGAAAAGTGTGAGAGAAACAAATGGGATGGGATAACCTCTGAATTACTGCTGAATTTGTATTATACAGCAAAAACTGCTATTACTATAAGTAATCCCAGAGACAAGCACAAAATTTTAATCTTGTACTGTACCCTAATACAGCGACAGCAGACCAGGTAAATGACACAATTTCACTTAGCAGATACGTCGAGATAGTAGACGTAAAAACAAATCACTTAGCTCAAATGGTATTAAAACCTAATTTTGATAGATGATGAATCGATTCCTACTCCATAACCCAAACGAAACCCTACAAAACCAAGATGGTCCTTATTCTAACCCTTCCCTCACATGAATACTAAATATATACCAAATACTCAAGAAGAAAAAAAATTAACATTTCCCCAGTAATTCCTGTTTGAACCACCATGAGAACCAAACGCTGTTTCACGTTGAAAAAGAGAAAAAAGGGGGAGGTGAGATGTGAAAAATCCCAGTAAAATGATCATGACATAGCATCTGGCAAAGACAGAAAACGCCTCAACACTGCCAAAAGAATCGGCAGTGATGAAAGTCCAGAGAAGAAAATGAGCTTTTCCAACAAGCCGCAGCCCAACCCCAGGAGCAAAATCGTCACTGCCAACGCCATCCCTCTCACCTCCAAGCACGTCCGTTCAAGTCGCCTCCAATTCAGATATATTTCCTCTACAACCCAGCCTAATTTCCCATCTAGGAGAAAACCATTCCAGAATTTTTTTCTACAACCACCACGTCCCACCTTCCAGAAGGTCTGCACTTCTCACGGGCAAGCCTCTGGGGAAAACAACGCCCAGATCCCACCCTCCTAGCCCGAGGTTGAACAGAGCCGGTTCCCAGGAGTGGGGCTTCCCGAGTGGGCCTCAAGTCGCCGACAAACTGAGAAAGAGCAAGGAATAAGGGTGGGGCTCAAGAAAGAGTTGGGGAAAGGGAGCCGATGGAGACCCGAGGAAGAAAGGGCTGGACAGAAGACTGGGGCTGGGCAGGGTGGGCTGGGGAGGGAGGGCAGACCGAGGGGAGATGGCCGGACTGCGGGGAAGGCGGACTGCTGAGTCGGGACCGAAGGGCCTAGGGACTGGGTTGAAAAACCGGCCGACGGATCCTGGGGCGGAGGAGCCGGGGAAAGGGCTGGGTGGAACCTGGCGGTGACGGGAGGCCGGAGACCCGCGGCGAGCCGAAGGGCTGCACCGGGGGGGTGCGGGCCAGCGGCAGCCGGCGGCCAGGAGCGGGGTACCGCGCACTCACCGCTCTGCTCCCCCAGGAACACCAGCTTAAATTTCCTCAGCGGATTCCCGAAGTCTCCGCCCGCGGACATGATGGAGCCGGAGGAGCTGCCGCCGCTTCAGCCCAGAGACCTCCCGGTCCGACGCCGCTCCCACCGGCTGACGAGGAAAGCGAAAGGAAGGGAGGGCGCCGAGCTTTCTCGGCCCCTGCAAGACGGACTGAGGAGCAAGGCTTGAGGGCAGCAGGACTCTCCACAGACGGGCAGCCGTCGCCCCGCTTCCCCGCAGAGTCGCCTGGCACCGAGCAAGGCCCGCGGGTGGGAAGGAAAGGAGGGCGGTGTCGGAGGCAACCCAGGGGGTGCTCGGGCTTCCCAAAGCTAGCGCCGTTCCTTTCCTCAGCACCCGACACCGAGCCTGAGGAGAGAGAGGCGGAAGGTGGC